TCGGAGTTCTCAGAAAGTAAGCCTCAAGGATTGATCTCTGAAAACATGTAGCAACAAAGAAATACAGTAGGGCCAGGAGAACTGGTGATAAATTGAAACAATAGATCAGTGGTAGAGCAGAGTCACAGAACCTCTAGTTCCACCCAGAAGGACACAGATAACAAAATCTGATGCACATTCTTGAATTGTTTTTACAGAAACCTGACTCCCACCAGAAGGAAACTGCTGACCACAAGCACATCAGACCAAGTGGGAGCAGAAGGTTGATGATATTGACTCCTGAAATATCACCCTGTTATCTCACCACCAATCAGTACAGAGGAATGACTATTAGTTGATCAGGCACCCTGTTGCCCATATCCCTACTATTGCCTTTAATAACCCTCCCCTGAAAGATCTCAGGGAGTTAGGGTCTTTGAGCATGAGCTGGCTTTTCTCCTTACTTGGTATCTGCAGTAAACACTATATTTTCTGGCATCCACTGACCACCTCCTTGCTGCCCCCACCCCAGCCCCCCAGAGTTCAGTCTCAGGCAGTTTCCACAGGGTTCAATTTTGTTCTTTTCTAGTTTTGGTTAATTCTTCCTACGTAATTTCACCAGTGTGAAAGATGAGACAGACCATGATGGCAGTTAAGGAGGCAATGAAAATGAGACCCGACAGAAGAGAGTTGTGTTCAGCCTAGCTTTTCAGGTGTTTGGTTTGGTTTTGATTTTGAAACATCCGCTGGTGTTAAGACTCTCCATTAGAGAACCAGGAAAAGGGAATTATCCTTCTTGGTTCCCCAAGATGGATCCAAGGATGAGAAGGGCATAACAGGAGAGTAGTGCTCAGATTCAACCTCCTACCTGGACCCTTCCTGTGGGATGGAGACACCAGGAGAAGGAGAGAAGATGGGGGGAACGGGGAGCTGGCCACCTTCCTGCTATGTCCAGTGGACTTTAGAAAAAAGCTCCTTGCTTCCCCCTCAAGGTGATGTATTTGTGACTGTTGACATGCTCAACAGTACAAGAATTGAGGTTGTTAGCAGAACCTAGAAGAAACCAGGACATGAAAATAAAGCTCTTTGTTAACAACAACAAACCCAAAACAAAACAAACAAATAAACAAAATGACTATACTTCACAGATGGTTCAGTGTTAAACAATCCTGGCAATACAGGATGTGGGTTCAATCCCTGGGTTGGGAAGATCCCCAGGAGAAGGAAATGGCAACCCACTCCAGTATTCTTGTGTGGAGAATCCCATGGACAGAGAAGCCTGGCAGGCTACAGTCCATGGGGCCGCAAAAGAGTCAGACACAACTTAGCAACTAAACAACAAGAAAAACAGCCACAACCTAGAGTTGGCTTTATTGTGCGCAGGGCAAGCAGACCCAAATCCAGGTTGGGTAACATATTACAGGATGCTGTGGAAATTGTGCAAGAGATGATGATAGCCTGCATGGAAGATAGGGAGGTGCAGAGAGAAGAGAGGGACGGTGAGAGTCAGGGGGAAATGGGGAGATCTGGAGAGAGGAAGCAGGGTCAAGGAAGACAGGAAGCTTCCAGCAACAGTGTGGATCAACAGCATCAGTCTCAGATTTGGAACCTGATTTCTTCTTGGGCTTTGGTCAGGGTCTGAGTTACTGGAAGGACAGCCAGGTGGACATGTCCAGAAAGCAGATATACTCAGGCCACACGCCCAAGAGACAGATCCAGGCAGATCTCCTCCTGGACACCTGCCAGGTGTGAGGTTGCTGATTTCCCCCAAACCCTAGGTTGCCCCCGAGCGAGTTGCCAGCCCTGTGTCTGCCTTGGGGAGTAGCGGGTGGGATGACGTCTGAAGGACAGAGAATGTGAGTTGTGTTTCCTGTGTGTGGGTTTGAAAAGAATTTCCAGACATGAGGCAGAATGAGAGGAGAATAGAGTTTATTAGAGTGGGAGACACTGTTAGAACAGTGGGCTCAAGGGAGAGCTGACACTTTCATGGACTAGTCACTGCAGACACTGGCTGCATCCATGAAATTAAAAGACACTAGCTCCTTGGGAGAAAAGCTATGACAAACTTAGACACCATATTAAAAAGCATAGACATCACTTTGCTGACAAAAGTCCATATATTCAAAGCCATGGTTTTTTTTTTTTTTTTTATTAGTTGGAGGCTAATTACTTTACATCATTACAGTAGTTTTTGTTATACATTGAAATGAATTAGCCATGGATTTACATGTATTCCCCATCCCAGTCCCCCCTCCCACCTCCCTCTCCACCCGATCCCTCTGGGTCTTCCCAGTGCACTAGGCCCGAGCACTTGTCTCATGTACCCAACCTGGGCTGGTGATCTGTTTCACCCTAGATAATATACATGTTTCAATGCTGTTCTCTTGAAACATCCCACCCTCGCCTTCTCCCAGAGTCCACAAGTCTGTTCTATACATCTGAGTCTCTTTTTCTGTTTTGCATATAGGGTTATCGTTACCATCTTTCTAAAGTCCATATATATGTGTTAGTATACTGTAATGGTCTTTATCTTTCTGGAAAGCCATGGTTTTTCCAATAGTCAAGTATGGATGTGAGAGTTGGACCATAAAGAAGGCTGTAAGTGGGTGAGTATCAGTTGCTCAGTTTTGTCCAACTCTGTAATTCTATGGACTGCAGCTGCCAGGCTCCTCTGTTCATGGAATTCTCCGGGCAAGTATACTGGAGTAGGCAGCCATTCTTTTCTGCAGGGGATCTTCCTGACCCAGACCTGGATAGAACCCAGGTCTCCTACCTTGCAAGCAGATTCTTTACCCTCTGAGCTACCAGGGAAGCCAGGCAGCAGGGAGGCCAAAGAAGACTGAGCACCAAAGAACTGATGCTTTCAAATTGTGGTGTTGGAGAAGACTCTTGAGAGTCTCTTGGACTGCAAGGAGATCACACCAGTCAATCCTAAAGGAGATCAACCCTGAATATTCATCAGAAGGACTGTTGCTGAATCCTAAGCTTCAATACTTTGGCCACATGGTGGGAAAAGCCAACTCATTGGAAAAGACGCTGATGCTGGGAAAGACTGAAGGCAAAAGGAGAGGGGGCGGCAGAGAATGCGATGGTAGGTAGCATAACCAACTTAATGGACAGGAATTTGAACAAACTTCGGGACACAGTGAAGGACAGAGAAGACTGGCATGCTGCAGTCCATGGGCTCGAAGAGTTGGACTTGACTAGGGACTGAATAACACAGCAGCCAATTTTTATAACTTCAAGACAAAGAAAATTCCTGGTGGAAGGGTGGCATTAGGTGATTGGTTAGGTGCTATAAGGAGGGTATTTTTTTAACCTAAAATGCAGTCGGGGAGCTGGCCAGTTTAGATCAGGGAGGCTCATGGTAATGGTGGCTATGGGGCTCCATCAGTTCTAGAGATGACCTTGGTGCAGGGCTCCATATCTGTAGCCTTGGTACAAGGCTTTACCCCTGTGACTTTGGTATAGAGCTCCACAAGTTGCTTGCCTTGGGGCTGGTTCTGGGGTTGGAAGGTGACATGAACCTGCTTCATCCCCTGAGTGGCACAGATCTGTGCTCTAGTTCACCTTTGCTGCCTTCCTGGCCAGTTGTTCCCACCTGATGGCACTTAGCTCCTCACCTTAGTGCTACCCAGGGAGAGCTGGGTACCCCTCTGGGCCTCTCCCAGAGCCCAGTAAGTCTCTAACAATCCTGAAAGCCACTGGCCTCTCCTGCTATCTGTGAGCTCCTGGTATGGGCACGGCCCTGCTGCGCTCCCTGGGCTGCGCCATGAACAGTCCCGTGGGCAGGTGAGATTTAACGTCAGAGGAGACTGGGTAAAGGGTGTTTGGAAACTCTACCACTTCTGCAATTTTTCTGTAATGTAAGTAATTTCCCCAAAGCTTAAAAGATTCATATTAGATTATGTATTGATTAAATAAAAATGAAACCCGCAGTTTGCATCAAACTATTGCTAACAATTGTTGAAGCAAGGTGATGGGTATATTAAGGCTCCTTATAACTCTTTTCTACATTTATATATATATATATGTTAGAAATTTTCCATTAGGAAAAGATAAATTATTGGAATTTCCTGGTGCTCCAGTGGTTAGCATTCTGAGCTCTCACTGCTAAGGGCCCAGGTTTAATCCCTGTTCAGAGAACTAAAATTCCATAAGCTGCGAGGCAAGGCCACAAAAAGAAAAAGACAAATTTTATGTATATTGATGAAGTCCCTTTCACGTGCCAGGCACTGTAGTCAACTGTGAGCCCTTGGCAGTCTTGTCCTCAAGGAGTTCACAGTTCACAGGGGGAAAGCAAATATTAAGCAAATATTGAAATCGTGATATGATAACAATTACTTTAAACAGAGTATAACCTATAAAAATATAGAACCACTATGCTGTACACTTGAAACTAATATGACATTGTAAATCAACTATAGCGGGATGTTTAAAAAAACTTCAGATACAAACAAACGAAAAAATTAATATGTTAGAGGACACACAGGAATTGAGCGTTCCAAGCAGAAGAAACTGTATGTGCAAAGGCCCTAGGGCTAGAGAGAAAAGCCCAGGTACAGTCAAGAAGAGAATGGTATGAAAATGACCCAGGTGATGCAGTTGAGCCCTCCCACACAGAGCAAGGGCAAACCGGAAAGATTATTTGGGGGTGTATACAACTGGGGTTGCAATACCATTCCTCATGTAGTTCTTTTTTATCACCTTAGATTGCTATCTCCCTATTCTCTCTACCATATCCTTATTTCTGCCACCACCCTCTTATGACACACTCTCCCTCTCCCTCCAAGATTCTTCCATCTGCCATAAACTTGGCATCCCATTTCATGAAAGCATGGTCCCCACCGGTCTGCTGGTCAGCCAAATAAATCTGGAATCTCTGCGTGTGCATTTATGGATCACCTTGAAATGGAACATTGTTGATTTATCATTTTCTTTGTGGCGTGTACGGAATGTTCTACCAGCCTGGTCGACTGTGTGGGGCTGTTTCCTATTGGACCCACCCCACCCCCCCAAAGCAGGGGCTGGTTGTTAAATTATTAAAGCATCTAGCATACACCCAAGGACTAGCATCGAGGAGCTGAGCAGAGAGGCAGCAGGACTTTTATCAGGTTGGTACTGACCTTATCATCTTCATATAGTTTCTCATTTCTGTTTCAGGAGGAAAATATATTTCAATGTGTTATTTTATGTGGATACCTGGCATTATTGCCTTTTCTTGGTGTGCTAAGGAAATGATTCAAGTGTTGTTTATTAGTTCCTCAAGGACGTGTCTTTAGAGGAAAGCAATAATCAAGAATTTAGAAAGTGAGGGCAGAGAATTAGATGATTTGGGGAAAATAAGAATGTTAACTAAGAACAATTTGAAAATGCAACCATGTCAGTGCTGGGAGGGATCTGTGAGCTTATGTTAGAGTTGCCTTCTCTAGACTAGATGGTGTATCAGTGTGATTCATATGGAAATCACACAATTATGCTGGACTGGAATTTGGCAGAAATCACACATTTGGGGAATCCCACTTGAGTGATGAGGAGAAAATATATGTGAGTGGTTGCATGTCATTTGAACTGGCAGCTCCTGTTGGGAAGTTAGTCATCAATGGCGGTGGGTCAGAATCTAAATTTGCACCTCCAAAGCTGATTTTACCACCATGAGCTTGTTGTTTGTATGAGTTACTTTGTGACTGAGCACAGAATAGCCTGCTGCTTTCTCTTCTTCTCCACCTCCACCTCCTCCTTCATGTTCAGTATTTTGGGGACCAAAGACTGGGCATGGTTTCTTATGAAGAAAAGATTCAAAATTGCAAGTGAATCTAAATGCATAGGGCTATTTGGATAGTAAGGCAAGTGCCTGTGGATTTATTTCTTAGGCAATTCAAGAAAATAATGCCCTTCTCTTGAACTGCCCGGTTTCCAGCCCAACAGATATACAGATTCCGTCTATTTGCCAAGTTAAATATTCTCCTGGGCTGTCCTGCTGAAGCACTTGCCCAATTTTTTTGCACAGTCATTGCACATACTGTGGGAGAGTTCTACTGTTTTGATAGTTGTGTTTAAACAGCGTAATGTTAGGTTTTATAAGCAGGATTGATTACTTTATGATCATGATCCCAGTTTATTATTTAATTGTTCTAAACTACTGAATTGCAAAATTGCAAGTCCTCTAAGGGAAATGCTAAAGAGCACATGTGTGGCTCTTGGGCTGTCTAATCATGCCATGTTACATGGAAGGTGTGTTAAATTTTGAGCAATGTCTTGTGTTAAAGACTATGATGATGTTACTACTTCCTGAGAGCTCACAGGTTAGTGGGGGCACAGAAACTGTAATCTCTGCAGGCTGTGAAAATTCAATAACAAAATAGATACAATAGGAGGAAACTAGTCTGCCTGTCAGGAGGACTAAATCTAATCAAGACTTCATCACTAACTAGATAGCTGGCCAACACATGCTCTCTCTGGGGTACAGTGTATTAATTCACACTTAAAGGAGTGGCTAGCTGACTTCTAGCTCTATAACTTGAGAAGTCTTGAGGGAAGATCTAGATACATCAGTGGCGCAGAGAGCTGGCTTCTAAAAGGTACATGACACCACTAGGTGAAAGTGAAATCGCTCAGTCCTGTCCGACTCTTTGTGACCCCATGGACTTGTAGCCTCCAGACTCTCCTGCCCATGGACTTTTCCAGGCAAGAGTACTGGAGTGGGTTGCCATTTCCTTCTCCAGGGGATTTTTCTGACCCAGGGATCGAACCCAGGTCTCCCACATTGTAGGCAGACGCTTTACCATCTGAGCCACGAGGGAAGCCCCCCAGTAGGTAGGATGCAGTATAATGGGAGTCAGCAGAAATGCCAACTTAAAAAGAATAGAACAAAAGTCTCATACACAGAAGCCTCAGAATCTCAAAGATCCTGCAAAATCACAGTGAGTTTGGAGCTTCCAAGGCAAAACAGAAGTCACAGGAAAAAAAATTAAAATAAGCCCATGGGAGAAGATTTGGAAACAGAAATGAAGAACAAGCACTTGTAATGTCTATGAACAGGTTTTAGACAAAAATGAGGAGCACCCCTAATGTAAGGTAGGGAGGGATGGAAAAGTCACAGCCTGGATGCTGCTGCTGTGAATGTAGAGCCGACCCGGGCAGGGCTCAGCAGCCTGTGCTTTCTCAGCCTTCAGCCACTCCGCTTGCTCTGACTTGCTTGATGTCTAGAATCATGATCCTTGGTTCAGAACCAAATTAAAATGAAGTCACCGTTGGGTTATTTGTGCATAGTAGGTTGTCGACAAGCCTGTTCTTCTAACGAAATTTAAACCCTTTAAAAGCAGATTCCACATCAGGCTCCTATCTTGTTTCCAACCAGCCATTATCTCTTGATACCTGAAACTGCTCAAGGGGTCTTAGGGGAGGAAGCCTGAAGGAAATTTGTTATAAAGAAGAAATACATCATGTGTCAACCAAAAACAAGGTGTCCATGAAGAAAATAGATATACAAATAAATAAAGGTCTTCTGGAATGTTTAAACTATTTTGACAAAAAACTCAAGTTTTGCAACCAAGCAAGTGAGCTCCTTGTCCCAAGAGAAAGACCAAATACTGGGGCAATGGTCTTTTGCAAAAAAAAAAAAAAAGGCTTTATAGCAGCCAGCTAAGCAAGGAGACAGGAAGAAATCTGTCTTCCTGATCTGTTTTGAGTGGCATATTTATCTTAGGAGTAAGAAGCAAGAGGGCGGGGGGCAGGGGGGGGGGGGGGGCAGCGCTCAGAAATGGTTAGTGTACAGTAAGTGTAAGTTTCAATGTACGTTTTAAGAGTTCTCTGTGCAGGCATGGTATATTTTCAGCATGTGAGTTCTAAAGTTGACTGTCAGTCATCCTATTCCATCAGTGTGAGTGGGCAGTGCTCAGCTAGAGAGGCTGTCATCAAGTTGTCTTCCTATCTGTAGATCTCTGGTACTCTGCTAAGTAAGCTGATATTCTTGGCATATCATTTTGTTTCTACCTTATGGGCCTTGTAAGTTACAGGGCACCAGTTTCACATGCCTTTTTTGAAACATAACTATTGTGCAGGGACTTCTGTGCTAAAGATTCTACAACCACAAAATCTTAAAAAAATTTTTTTGGCCAGAGGTCTGTTGACTAAAAACGGGACTGAAATTGTCCCTCCCTAAGTCTAACAATCTAATCCTTGCTTTTTAATGACTCCTGTGCTTCTTTACTGTCATCACTGATAAAACTTGCCCAAGACCACTGCTGAACTTACCCAGCCATGCTGGGGACAGGGGCACTATGCTTCTGGCAGCTCCTGGGGATGATGCTAAGTAACTGTCCTCCGATGACAGGACAACAAAGAAGGATCCAGCCCCAAATGTCACTAGTACAGACACCTTAGACTAGAGCAACATCTACCAGACTTCTTTGGCTGGTCCCAGTCACAAGTGTCTCTTACATTTTACAGCAACCCAGACCACACAATCACATACTGACACATTACTGAGTCCTGGTTCATACTGCTCGCCACACAGCCGTCCATTAAATAGAGAGATGAGGTGTTGAGGCAAGGCCTGGGATTTTATTGGGAGAGACAGCAGACTAAAAAGGTGGTGGGCTAGAGTCCCAAAGAACCATCTAACCTGTGTTAGAATTCAAGCTTATACTAAAAGGGGAGGGTGGTGTGGCTGGTGCTTGCAAATTTCTTGTTGCCAGCCAGACTCATAACGATATAGGATGTGAATTCTTTGTTCTTCCAACCATCCACATAGGTCTGATCATGTTTCTACAAACCTCCAACAAGGCAAATGTTATTCTTTGTTCTGCAACTGTTTTATCCTTATATGGAAGAAAAGACTTTTATCTTTATATGAAGGAAAAGACTTTGAAAATGAGCTATCCTATGTATTTCAGGCTGTAGGTAGCATTCTTTTACAAAAGGTGCAGAGCCAGCATGACTCAGCAAAGGCTACAGAGCACAAAGGTTAGAGCTAAAGGAATAGATCCAGGGTGGAGGCAGGTTTGGCTTCACTGTTACACTCACATGACATAAATGTCGTGACAAAACTCATCCTCTGTTCATTGGTGCCAACGCAGAGACAGAGTTTTGGAGGAAGTAGAAAAGAGTAGCTTTTATTGCTAATTCCCTTAAGACTGTGACCCACCCTGGATGGGGGTAGTGAGGAGATTTATAGTGTTCAGGGAGCAGGGTGTGATCAGCTCATGGATTCTCAGATTGGTTGGCATCAAGGTGAAGTTTCAAGCATCATCAATCTTCTGGTTTCAACCAGTCTAGGGTTTATGTTCCTGTAGTCAGCAGTTTTCATCTGGAGGGGATCTGTTTCTTGTAAAACCAACTTAGGAATATGTGTCAGGCCTTTATCTATATCTTTCAGGGAACTGTGAGTTGGGTGATTCTGTTATGTAGCAGATTTATAGCCTAAATTGTTACCAGTCCTCCAGCCCAACAGCTATTCTTTGTTCTCACATCTTCACATTTCCCAGTCATTAACTCTTGAGTCAGCAGTTTATTTCAAGGACAAAGACAAGAGGAGTTGTACATGGTTTTGTAATTTAAGTGCTTTTTAGCAAAAAGTGCTTACTATAACTATATATGATACACCCTCGTATTTACTGTTATATTGCAGTTGAAAAACACTAGTCAGAATCTGCTGTGTTAATTTCACAATTCACAATGGGCTACAATCCATCATTGGCACACACTGGTATAGCAAAATCCCACGACACTGACGTCAAATGAAAGTGCCTTCATACAACCACTATAGAGAACAGAATGGAGTATCCTTAAAAAACTAAAATTAAAACTACCATATGACTCTGCAATACCATTGGTAGGTGTACACCCTGAGAAAACCATAATTTCAGAAGGCACATGTACCCCCATGTTCACTGCGGCACTATTTACAATAGACAGGACTTGGAAGCAACCTAAACATTTGTTGATGGATGAATAGATAAAGAAGGTGTGGTACATATATACAATGGGATATTACTCAGCCATAAAAACGAATGCAATTGGGTCATTTGTAGTCTTTCATACAGAGTAAAGTAAGTAAGAAGGAGAAAAAAACAAATATATATTAATGAACATATATGGAATCTAGAAAAATGGTACCAATGAACCTATTTGCAGGGCAGAAATAGAGACACAGATGTAGAGAACAGGACACAAGGACACAGGAGGGGAAGGGGATGGTGGGACAAGTTTAGAGAGTAGCACTGACATATGCATACTACCACGTGTGAAATAGAGAGCTAGTGGGATGCTGCTGAATGGCACAAGGAAGTCCGCCTGGTGTCTGTGATGACCTAGAGGGATGGGATGGGGGTGAGGTGGGAGGGAAGCTCAAGAGAGAGAGGATATACGTGTATGTAAATAGCTGATTCAAGATGTTTTACAGCAGAAACCAACACAACATTGGAAAGCAAATATACCCCAACTTTTTAAAACAGTTTAAAAAACAAGGTGCAATTGGATAGGTTCACCACTCACTTTAGACCAGTCAGAATTTCCCTTGAGTAATTTTTGTGAAGGTGAAATGAGGAAAAAAGTGAGAAAATGCCCACTATGTGGTAGACACTAAACCTACATTAGTTCCTTTCCGTGTACTATAAAGGTAGGGCACCAGCATCTCTTTCTCTCGATCGTAAAGTAAAATTCATCCAGCAGTGAAAAACATATAGAATTCCAACAAGAAAAAAAGGAATGAGTTTTGTCTCCTATGGAGAGAAGTTAGAAGGTTTAGGGACAGTCAGGGCAGGATTCAGCCGCAGTTAATGCTTTTGAACAAAACCACCTGCCAGTCAAGGACCAACTCAGCTCCCTGCTCTTCTCTGTCAGGGAAGTTTCCTGGTTTCAAGTCCCCTCACAGCCCCAGGTGACAGCTGAGCAAGATTAAGCCCCTGCTCTATTTAAGTCCTCTGAGAGAGGACAGACGCAATCTGAGACTTGGTTTGGTACAATTTCACAATGACACCCTTTGCTAGGTGAGAATGTGGACCAAGGAAGAACCACACGGTTCTTCCAATGCTGCCATGAAAAAAGCAGGCTCTACCCCTTCTGTTCAAATGGACTGGACGTTGTAAAGTGCAATTTGCCTCTGTGGTCTGATTCATCCAGGTTCACAGGAAGTGAAGAGCTACTATCATGGCGGGGAAGCCCAAGCTTCACTATTTCGACGCCCGAGGCAGGATGGAGGCCATCCGGTGGCTCCTGGCTGCAGCTGGAGTGGAGGTAGGCCCTCTTAACTTGGATCACTGTTGACTACCAAAGCACTTTCTCACCGGAGCCAGACCTCCGCATTAAAGGACCTGAGCATGATTTTGTGTTGCATAAAAATAGCTGCACATTAAGAAGGAAATGGACTGATCTGACCAAATGAATGTGTAAATAATCCTGCCTGTGGAAGAGCATAGAAACATTCTTTTTTATTTGAAAGGAAGCAAAAGACACATCAACTAGTCCAACTGCATGAAACTTACTTGGATTTCATTTCAACAAACCATAAATATTATTTATGACACGTTCAAGTAGAAACTTGATTGCTGATTGAATATGTTATTAAAGAATGATTGTTAATATTTTAGGTGTAATTTTTACACCTAAAGTATACATGGGTGCATGAAGTATACAAGGGTGACATGATATGATACCTAGAATCTGCTCCATTTTTACATAAAGGGGAATGTGGATGGGCATATACACAACACAGGACAGGCTTGAGTTGATAATTATTGATGCTGTTGAAGGATATGAGAAACACTGTACATTTATTTTAATTTTTTTACATGCTAGAAATTCCCACAATAAAAGAAAAACTGCATGTAATATCAAAAAAATAAATGAAATTAAGGTTAAGATATAATTAGAAATATGGGAATTAGCCAACTGTAACAAACCACTTGATAAGATTTAATATATTCACTCAGCAATAATTTTGGGTGGGAGCACTTTAGAGCTTCCCTGGTAGCTCAGCTGGTAAAGAATCTGCCTGCAATGCAGGAGACCCTGATTCAATTCCTGGGTTGGGAAGATCTGCTGGAGGAGGGATAGGCTACCCATTCTAGTATTCTTGGGCTTCCCCGATGGCTCAGCTGGTAGAGAATCTGCCTGAAGTGTGGGAGACCGGGGTTCAATACCTGGGTTGGGAAGATCCCCTGGAGAAAGGACCCCTACCCACTCCAGGATTCTGGCCTGGAGAACTCCATGGACTGTATAGTCCATCGGTTCGCAAAGAATCAGATGTGACTGAGCCACGTGCATTTTCACTTTTGTGCCAGGCTCTGTACTAAGTTCTGGGGATAAAAAAAATGAATGAGACAGACACAGTCCCTGCCCTCAGGCAGCTTGCACTCTAGTGAGGATGCAAATAAGTAAGTGGGTGATTAAGAGAGGGATGGGAGCATCCAGGAGAACCCCCAAGCATTTTATAGTGTTAAAACACCACATTCCCAGGAGCAAATGTAAGACTCTGTTGATGGTGATACTGGTAAACAAACCACTTACCAAGGCAGGGGGAGAAGTGGGCAACAGATGATGAGATGGTTGGATGGCATCATCGACTCATTGGACATGAGTTTGAGCAAACTCCGGGATACAATGAAGGACAGAGAAGCCTGGTGTGCTGCAATCCATGGGGTCTCAAAGAACTGAACAAGTGTTTTTCTCAGTGATAACTCTAGAGGCCATGCATGAATGCTAAGTCGTTTCAGTCATGTACGACTCTTTGAAACCCTATGGACAATGCCCACCAGGCTCCTCTATCCAAGGGATTCTCCAGACAAGAATACTGGAGTGGGTTGCCAGGCCCTCCTCCAGGGAATCTTCCCGATCCAGGAATCGAACCAGCATCTCCTCTGTCTCTTGCATTGGCAGACAGGTTCTTTACCACTAGCAGAAAAGACCTGGTACTATTGGAAAAGACCCTGATGCTACAGTCCACAGTGTCGCAGAGTCAGACATGACTTAAAGATTTCATATTTAGTGAAACAATTTTTTTTTCTAAAATTACCCTCATTTTTACCAAACACAGCCAAGACAAATTTGTTTTTAAAATAAATTTGATGACTTCCCTGGTGGTCCAGTGCTGCAATTAAAGATTCCACGTGCTGCAAATAAGACCTGGCACAGCCAAACAAGTAAATAAATAAAAATAAATATTAAGAATAAAGATAGCCAGGACTTCCCTGGTGGAATAAGAATCAGCTTGCTAATGCAAAGGACACGGGTTCGATCCCTAGTCCGGGAAGCTCTCATATGCCACGGAGCAACTAAGCCCATGTGCCACAACTACTGAACCTGTGAGTCTCAACTACTAAAGCCTGTGCACCCTAAAGCCTGTGCTCCACAATGTGAGAAGACCCTGCAATGAAAAGCCTGCACAACCTCACAAAAAGTAGCCCCTGCTTGCTGCAATTAGAGAAAGCCCATGTGTAGCAACGAAGATCCAGCACAACCAAAAGTTAAATAAATAAATTTAAAAACTAAAGATAAACATTAAAAAAAATAATAATAGATTTTTAAAAATAAAATGTTTGGTCCATTGACTATGTAAGGTATTTAATCCTGACGCTGGTGTAACTCCTCAGAAAGAGTCTCAGACGAAATTCTTAAAAGGCTTTCAAAGCCAAGAAAGCCATGCCAAAGGCCTGCTATCAGATTTGCTCAGCTGGATTTCTCTCTTCTAGAGGTTTTCAAAATAGTTTGAGATTCCCATAAATATCAGAAGACAGTCTTTTTTTTTTTCATTTACCTGACATACATAAATCCAGACAGACAGAGATCTCATAGTTTTCTCCTTGAGATTTAAAATGTCTCTTTGCCTCCTTTTTTTCCCCCTTTGGCTTGAAGTTCTACATAACCCAAGGCCAAAGTCTCAAGTAAAGTGGGCTCTGTTTGTATCTCAAGGACATGGTAAGAGTTGATGTAGCTTTTTCCTAGGCATATTTTTATTCTCTCAGGGTCAGAATTCTGGAAAAAAAAAAAACAAAAAGTATTTCAGCAAGTTAGCTTTTCTAATTGCACATGCTAAAAGAGCCAGTTTTGCAATTAAAGAAAAAAAGTCTTGTTTTAACAAATTTTGTGGTCATACTGTCAAGAAAAATCATCTTTACCTTTTTTTTGTAGTCATAGTTTCATAGCTAAAATATAGACCAAATAGTGTCAAATTTGTCTTAATAATAGAGGCAGACTAGCTGATAAAAATGTCCCAGAAAGGTTTATTCTTCTGGGGAGGTAGGAGTCTTAGCTTGATCAGAAAGACCTGGAGAAGTAAGGGAACATGTAGGAGTGGGAGAAGCTTGGTTCCCCCCTGAGAGTTGGGAGAAGTTAGGAGATCGTTTAGAATGTTAGGAGAGTTTTTTCTCATTATAGTAGCCACATAGAGCAGGATTATGATAAAAAGCCTTGAAGACTTGAACATAAGGAAACAGTCTATTATCTCACCCTGTGGCAACAAAAATCGAATTGTAAGAGACTCATTTTCAGGCCATTTTCCTCATCCCCCAATTTACATAAAGGCCAGGCACTGTTTCAGTAAAAACTTGCTAGTTCTTAAGGATACACTCCAGAGGTGTTTCTTCTAGCTTAGAAATGGATCCTCCTATATTGAATAACCTGCAACCCAGAACAGAGACCGCTTCTAGCTACGTAATCCACTATCCCTGATACATTTAGGAGACACCTGAAGGAGATTCAGAGTGTCCCCTGAATTTACTTTGACCTTATTCCTTGACAGGGTTTGGGGCATCCTCTATCCCCCACTGAGTTTTAAGCAGCAGTCTCCGGTTGTTCTTGACCTTGAGCAAGGAGTCCTCCTTTCATACCTGGAGAGGACGTGTGGACCAGCACAGAGTGGTTGCAGGTTTTCCATTAAGTTTTATAGATGACAGATACTGCCCAGGATGCAGGCTGATTGGAACTGGCCTGCTCAGTAAGTAGTCTGTCCCAGCCTAGGTGCTGCCAAGGCCTGGAGTGAGGGGGAACTCCTGGAGGAACTGGAATTGGCTACAGTGGAAAGTGCCACAGCCGTCAGGACCTGAGGGTTTCACCTGACACTGAAGGTATGGGCTTGGCAGCAGCAAGACTTCAGCTAGTCTTTCCCCAAGAGGATTTTAAAGAATTAGGTAAAAAAGAAACCTTGCTGTGCAAGTAAGACGGGAGAGAAAATCCCAGCACAGCGGAAGAGAGAGTGAAAGTCAGGAGTCTCCAGCCAATAGTTTCAGCGACATCTGCAGCTCACCTTGAACTCCTGGGTTTCTCACCAAAGGATCTCAGAGAGACTGCAGTGCTGAGAAGAGATCTTAGTTCCCTGCCCAGGAACTGAACCAGGAATACCAATCACTAGACCACCAGGGGCTGGAGGCTAAAAGCAAAGTAGCCAAGGCTCTTTTCCCCGTTTGAAAACAAGAATGTTTCAAGGAGGCGAAAACTGTAAAAACAGGTGCAAGGTTTAAGGGAGCACAGCGTACGGGAGAGCACATGGAGAAGTAGTTATTTAAGACAGAAGCGAGGCAGAAACACACACCTAGAAAGAAAATGTACATGTGTCCTCTCTAATCAGGAGAAGCATAGTAAAGGAATGAATTCAATCACTTATATAAGACAGTCCTTCCAGATCTTTGCTTACCTTTGGCCAGTTAGCTTGTTTCTTTTTCCATATCTACCTGGTCCTAGGACCCTCCCCGGGATGCGTGCACCTTTTGGCTAAGATGAATCCCACTGCAGATGTCTGTGGGCACATGTCCATACTTATTATGGGGAGGCAACCCCTCCATTTTTGACCCCAAGGAGACTTCCTGTGGATGTGCAGACAGGGAAGTCTTCCTTGACCTCAGGAGTGGCCACTTTATCTTCATCCCAGCAGAGCTCAGCTTCAAGGACAAGGGCTCTGTCCTTGGTGTTTGAGTGAAAACAAGGCATCAGCTTTATTCCACTTAGCAAAAACCAGCAGTCCAGCCCAGAGGCCCATCAATCACCTACCTCAGAATCATGGAGAAACTCTGGAGATTTGATCCCTTAGGGGAGAGCAAGGAGTAAAGGACGGTCTCAGGTGAGGTGGTGTCCTGCAAAGGAACCTCTAGTGTGCTCCCTTAGCCTCCTAACATATTTACCTGAGCCTCAGATTCAGTTCAGTTCATTCAGTTCAGTCACTCAGTTGTGTCCGACTCCTTGTGACCCCAGAGGGGGGAGGATGTGGGGCAAGGCTGACCAGAGGCCACTGGTCAAGACTTCTGGGTTCTCTGGGCCCAGAGGCTGATCCTCACAACCCCATTCCTCTCCCTCAGCCTCATGAGCAACAGCTCACCAACAAGTCCCATCCTTCCTCTGACCCCTTCCCACAGTGACCACTCACCACCCCTCATATTGTCTTGAACTGGGCACTTTGCAAATTGTTGCCCACACACCTCACTATCTGTGTGGTCTAACCCTATGGAATCATGTAGATCCCCAATAAACTGTTCCACCGAGTCAGTTGAAGGTAAAAGTGAAAGTGTTAGTCACTCAGTTCAGTCTGACTCTTTGCGACCCCATGGACTGTACTCTACCAGGCTCCTCTGTCCATGGAATTCTCCAGGCAAGACTACTGGAGTGGGTTACCATTTCCTTCTCCAGGGAGTCTTTTTGACGCAGGGATCGAACCCAGGCCTCCTGCATTGCAGGCGAATTCTTTACTGTTTGAGCTACCAAGGAAGCCCCAGTTAGAAACCCCCCAATTCTCAAACTTTTCATCATCAAGACCCTTGTTTAAAATAAAAATTTGAATGGAGGGAGGTAATATACAGCAGAGGTCCCTGGTTGCAACATCTTAGGAGTCAGTAGCCCCATGGAAACCCCAAGCTGGGGACACCCCAAATTCCTGTCCTGATTTCACAGGGAGAGAAACAATTTCCAGAGACATTAAAACTTCATAACTAGAAGAATTTCCCAGTCCCTTCCCTCCAGTGACATTCCCCTCCCCCCAAATCATTACCTAATCACTGACAGAGGTGGGGACAGGGTAGAGGTGAATTAACCTGCAAAATAAGCAGTTACTTGCTGCAACCCACACTTTTATCTTGGTGGCTCTAGTCTAAATCTCCAAATGGCCTTGATCACTGTCCTCTGTGCACCCTGCTGAACTTGGAAATCCTATAGTCTCCATAGTGGGCGGCAGACAGATGCCAGGCGAGTTCAGCAATGCTAGAGAATGAAATAACAAAAACTCATGGACTGTTTCTGTTTTCCAGTTTGAAGAGAAACTTTTAGAAAGTTCAGAAGATTTGGATAAGTTAAGACATGGTAAGAAACTGAATTCTTCAGCCACAAGTTGAGGTTTAAATACCAACAAGGCCTTGTGTATGCAAGGTAGGAATGGGATAAGAGGAGAGGAAGAAATGTGGTTAAAGGTAAGGATATGGCTCCTTGAGAAGGTCTTGCAGCTCACTTGGGACTAGGAAGGGCTGGAACTCTAGTATTTGCTAAAGGAACCATCCCCAGTGCCCTGTGAATGCCCTTACTGGGCTCTTTCTGCTTTTCTGCATCATGAGTGACTGTATCAGTTCAGGATGCCACAGCCCTCCCACCCAAGGTCAAGAAAACACATGCATCAGAGAGAAGAGGGGAAAACGAGGCCCAGAAATTGCCATGAGCCCTTTTTTCTGGCAAGTTTGACAAGTCTAGCAATATTGCAGACCCAGTGAGCAGGAAAGGGGACCTGCACATAGAAATCTCTCAAAATCTGCCTTATATGATGTGAGACTTATTTAGAACTTCTCATTTATATTGGAAACTGGGTGGCGGCCCTATTGCAGCCTCTTCCAACTTCTTTCTAAAATATCCCTAAAGACAAATAGAATTAGAAGGAATCGCCTATGTATCTGAATGGCAAGTAAAAAGATAAATGAAATAATGGGTTAAAAAAGTAAAAGATTGAGCAGGAAAAGGACTATGGGAAGCCAAAAACAAAATGTCATGCTGCTTAAGTGTTCCAGGTCATTTTAGTATTTCATTTTATATCTTCAGTTATGTCAACATTTTTATTTTCATCCTAAAAGGGTGTAATTCATCCAATATTTCTCTCTTCTTTTCTCCTTTCAAAAGATGGGAGTTTACTGTTCCAGCAAGTACCAATGGTTGAAATTGATGGGATGAAGCTGGTACAGACCAGAGCCATTCTCAACTACATTGCCACCAAATATGATCTCTATGGGAAAGACATGAAGGAGAGAGCCCTGTACGGTATTTTTTCTGTTCTTTCATGAGTGATAAGTAGGAACAATCCTAGGTGTTTCCCTGAGCGATTAGGATATGTTCATGGGGATCATGACCAACAGCAGCTATAGACCTTAATGGTGTAACTGAGGTCTAGTACCGCAGGGATCTATGAAGATGAGAGAAGAATAAACTTGGAGTGGAATCAAGAGCTTATGTAAGAAATTGTGGTCCATGGGTATAGCACAGTGACGGAGGATTCCAAACATGGGTGAACTATAAAGCCGGGAGGAAGGTGGAAGCATGACTCCAGGGGCTCAGACTAGACACCCGCCAACAGCTAGAGACAAGGGACAAAATGTCTGAGTGTCTAGAAGATAAAGTCTGAGAAGAAGAAGATCTAAAGGAATTGATTCTTAAGTTCCAGAAATTTTAGAATGATAACCAGGAGCTTAATTTATCAGTCCTCTTAGTGGACCGGTCACTTGACAGGGGATAACAAAGTGAATAACTTTGGGGATAACAGTGGATAACAAAGGGGATAACTCAAGACACCAGAGTTATCTGGAACATTTTAATTTAAGTCTGAAGCAGCCAGATTTATTCAATTTAAGCAAAACTGGGGGAAATCCTCTCTGTTGCAATGGGACAACCTGATTGACACTAAAATCATGTAAAGAACTGTTGGCAGTTACTCAAAAAGTTAAAGAGTTACCATATGACTCAGCAATTCCACTCCTAGGTATACACCCAAAAGAGTAAAAAACACATTCACATTTCACAATTCAAGTTCAGCATGGTACATGTCAGTAGGTAGCAACATGATGGCACAATGCTGTGGTCAAGAGCACAGTCTCTGGGGCGGAATGGCCAGCACTCCCATCGTAGGTTCATCACTAAACAGCTCATGACTTCAGACACTTTCATTAACATCCTGCTCTTTAATATTTTATCTGAAACCTAGTCTTCAGCTCCACTGGATTATTTGTGAAGATGTGTGGCTGGACCATACTGATTCCATTTTGTCCCCTCTCCCCCAGCTTTAGGCCACCAATCCTACACCCTCATCTTTCTACATACTGCACTTTAGCCTCCCAAAGAAGAATGTGCCCCAGCTGGATAAATTCCCCATCAGTTTTTACCCTTGCCTTCATCTGATAAGAAAACTGGAAGAATGTATTTTGTTGACACAGAAGGTTAATGGTCATGAGACCCCCAGGGGAGGAAAAACCACCAGTTCCTTCAGTGTAGACTTGCTTCTCACTTGGTAGTCAGATTCTCATTTTAGTTTTGATCCCTTTGCTGCTGCTGCTGCTAAGTCGCTTCAGTCGTCTCCGACTCTGTGGGACCCCAAAGACGGCAGCCCACCAGGCTCCCCCATCCCTGGGATTCTTCAGGCAAGAACACTTGAGTGGGTTGCCATTTCCTCCTCCAATGCATGAAAGTGAAAAGTGAAAGTGAAGTCGCTCAGTCGGGTCGGACTCTTGGCGACCCCACGGACTGCAGCCTGCCAGGCTCCTCCGTCCATGGGGTTTTCCAGGCAAGAGTACTGGAATGGATTGCCATTGGCTTCTCCGTTGACCCCTTTAAATTCCCCTAGATCCCTTTTGGCAGCACGAAGTGCAGCTGTAATTGTCTGTGGATCATTGTCTGCACTGTCTTCCTTGCCTGTTTATAAGTTACCCACAATAAACTTCATAGTGAAAAAAAAAACAAAAACAAAACACATCCACACTAGAACTTGTACACAGAAGTGCACAGTGTTCATAATATTCAAAAAGTGGAAACAAACAAAATATCCAACAACTGATGAATGGATGAACAAAGACTGATACACCCCTATAATGGAATATTTTTAGCCATGAACAGCAGTAAAGTGGAGTAGGCCACAGTAACCCACTCCAGTGTTCTTGCCTGGAGAATTCCATGGACAGAGGAGCCTGGTAGGCTCCAGTCCATAGGGTCGTAAAGAGTCAGAGAGACTGAAGTGACTTAGCATGTAAAGTACTGATGTATGTGACAACATGGATGAACTTTGAAAAATACTAAATGAAAAACACCAGACACAAAAGGCTACATATTGTGTGATTCCAAATATATTAAATGTCCTGACATTCAAATCCATAGAAATAGAAATAATAGTTGAGTGGTTGCCTGAGGCTATAATGCTGAGGAAATGGTGAGTGACTGTCAAGGGTGCTGGATTTCCTTTTGGATAAAATGATAAAAAAAAAAATTCTGGAATTAGAACATGGTAATGATTTCAGAATGTACTAAAAACTACTGAATAGTACCATTTAAAGGATGAAAGTAATGCTATGTGAATGTATTTCAATAAAGATTTTATTACCAAAAAAGCAACTCTTGTAGGAAATCCTTTTGGAACAAAAACAAACAAAAAAAATCACCTGGAATTTTCATTGTTGAAACTGTATGAAGAATTGCACTATTTCAGGGGATATTTGGGATGGAGTCTTAAGAAATGCAAATGAGGCCAGAGTCGGGCAATTATATATGGAGGAGGTTGTGAAACCATTTCTATCAGAAATAACTGGAGGAACTACTGGTACTGAACATCTAAATGGACCTAGTTGTGTAACAGGATGAGAAAGGGAGAGCTAGAGGGACATAACTGGGATCACGGTGCCAGGACTTTCTCTAGACGTGACTGAGATGGTGCTAATGTATCACAATAACTGTGCATAGATTATATTACAGCAGAGATGGCAAACCATCTCAGATGGTCTCAGAGGTTACCTGCAGGGATTAAACCATTTCTCTTATACCTCTATGAATGGGTCCCCACTATGCTTTGTCCCTATATTTGATCATGCATATAACCAAAATATTAGCTATGTCTACATTGATGGCTTGTTCTAGGGTGAAATATTAAAATTAATAAAACTCATAACTCCATTACTGGCTTAGAAAAATGTACCCAGTGGAAAATTACTTTACCATCTTTTGATGCCCCATTCCTATCTATTCTTAAACTAGAAAGTCTAAGGCAGGAGACATTTGGCAATTTGGTCATTCTGTCTTTCAGGATTGATATGTACACAGAGGGTGTGGCAGACTTGGGTGAAATGATCCTGCTTTTGCCCCTGTGCCCACCTGATCAAAAAAATGCCAAGTTGACCCTGATCCGAGAAAGGACAACAAACCGTTATCTCCCTGCATTTGAAAAAGTAAGTAGACTGTTTAGTGGTTTTGACACTGAGATGAGAGGACAAAGGAACATAGTGCCTGGCGTTGCTGGGGCATCGACCTTCACTTCTGTGAACCTTCCTGAGGACTAGTGCAGCATCCTGATGCTCAGGGCATTTTCTAAAAGTTGACTCTGAGGGAGAATTGTACCAGTTTTACACACATTGTCATTTTTCAGCATAATTTCTATTGACTCAGACCCAGTCTGAAATTCTCTGTTCAATGGAATTTCATGGTTTTACTTAGAGCTTGGACTGTGGAAGTTCTGAGAGCCACACTGGAGCCTGGAGTAGATGGATTCCGGAGAACACAGTGCAGGGGCTTTGATCCAAGAAGAGCATGATGTTAGCAATACATCAGAAAATATTCTGGTACCATGAGCAGGGAGACGTGAGAGCAGCTGCCTGTCAGGAGAATGTGGAAGCATTTCTGGGATGGATGAAATATTTCTCAACAGAGATGGGGGCAGTACTGGGGAGGAAGAGACAGAGGAAAAGATGTTCAGGAGAAAATAGTCGCAAATTTTTGGGGACTTGGCTTTCAGACTTTTGAAGAAGGTCATACAAAGCCAAGGAAATAATGTTCCATCATTACGCCTAGTATATATCTTAGTTAATGTTTCTTCTTGATGGTAAGAGGAGAGCATTTCAAGATCAAAATTACCTGAAATCATGCTAAACAAAAATGATTAACCTAGAGAAAAAGTGATTTTAAGAGATTCAGGAGGGTTACATACATAGATAAAGATTAACAAAGAGCATAGGGTCATTCTTTCATTTATTCAGCAAATGGTAATTCATTGCTTGCTTATCTGGCCATATTCAAGGAGCAAAGAATTAAATAGTAATCAGAAAGCACACCCTCCGGGCCCTTGAGGTGCTGGGAGTTTATTCAACATTCACGAGATGATAAGCTCTTTGATGATTGCAGTTTGAGTTCATCTGTACTTTGATTTATGGGTTGAGAAGATTCTCCTAGAGGAGGAAATAGCAATCCACTCCAGTATTCTTGCCTGGAAAATACCATGTACAGAGGGGCCTGGCAGGCTACAGTCCATGAGGTCACAAAGAGCTGGACAAAACTGAGCATGAGCACTGACGAACAAAGGGTACTTTGAAAACAAAGGGCCCCTGATAGCATAAGTAAAAATTATATTTTACAAAATATGTTTTGATGGCTTTTCCAAAAGATTATCCATTTGTCCATGCTTTTATATTTTTTGCTTTGTTTTCTTTTTTAGTTGCTCAGTAATATCCAACTCTTTGTGCCCTCATGGTCTGTAGACCACTAGGCTTTCCCTGTCCATGGGATTTCGCAGGCAAGAATACTGGGGTGGGTTGCTATTTCCTTCCCCAGGGGATCTTCCCAACCCAGGGATCAAACCCTGGTCTCCTGCACTGCAGGCAGATTCTTTACCACTGAACCACCTGGGAAACCCTCCATGCTTCTGTATGTATATATAATCTGAAAGTGTATTTGCCAAAATGTTATTACATTAGTTAGTGGTGCTGTATGCATTTTTCTCTTTATACATTATGATTTTCATATTACTGGAATATTTTAATAAATATATTTCCCTAACATACTATTATGAAACATTTCATACATGCAGAAAAGTTTAAAATGTATAAAATGAACTCGTATGAACCTACCATGTGGATACCAGAATTAAGCTTTGGTTTCCATTATCATATGTGATTATCTCTCCATTCCTCTTCTGTCAATCAAATACATAATTTTGACTATATAACAGAGTGAGTTAAGTCATCAGTGAAGTTCATCCCCAGACATTTAGCATATGAATTGTAACATAGTGCAAGTTAGGAATCAGGGAGAAGGGACTTCAAGTTGACCCAGGTTATTTAAGGTCCCAGAGAGAGACCGGGAAATCAGGAAGCAGGAAAGAAGAGAAATGTGGACTGAAATAGTTTGCTCAGGGTAGAAGAAGGTTGTTAAGAAGTTGGAGTCACTGGCCAAGGGAGAAAGATGAGAGGGACAGAGAGAGAGAACAAGAAGAGAGAGAGGCGAGAGAGAGATGGATGAAGGGTCATGTTGTGAAGTTCAGGGCTGCACACTTGAGGGTGTGGGGTCAACAGAAACACTCTGGAGATGGTGCTAAGCCCTTGGCCCAGTGGAAGAAGTAAGGCAGCCACAGCGAGGAGGGAAAAGGAAAAGGAAATTATAGTCTGGCTTCCACTGGGGATGAGGAGGGAACAGCAGGGACTCAGCTGGCCCATCTCACTGAGCTGGGGGGAGCAGAAGGTCTGGGGTCCCCACCTGCCCAGGGAGGGGCAGAGGGGGAAGTGGGGCTGGGTAAGGGGCAGGGGAGGAGCAGGGCCCGAGCTCTCTGGACCTGCATTCCTGATCTGACCCCTCCATTCGCCAGGTGCTGAAGAGCCACAGACAAGACTACCTGGTGGGCAACAAGCTGAGCAAGGCTGACATCCACCTGGTTGAACTGCTCTACTATGTGGAAGAGCTGGACCCCAGCCTTCTGGCCAACTTCCCTCTGCTGAAGGTGAGCTCTCCCACGACTCTGGACTGGGAGGTGGGAGGGATGGAGTGGAGGTGGAGGGGTAGGGATGGGGGTGTGCCCACACCTCCCACCTCAGAATCTGTTCTCTGAACACTGGGACCGCAGTGCTAGGGTCCCCACCGTATCATTTCTTCCCCTCAGTTCCTGTTCCTTCTCTCACATGTTGATTTGTCTCTCCCCTTCTCTCTCTCTCTCCGAGGGCAGATTGGTTCTGACTGACGTCACACATTACCTTTCATATTTTCTGTCTTCAGTTCCAGCCCCATCTCCTATCTCTTCTTGTCTTGATACCTGGAGCTTAATCTGTGCTGATGTCTGACACTTTTTTCTTCCTTACACTGCACTTGAGGGTGAACCTGCAAGACTGATGTGTAGGAAGATCGGGACGCTGAATGGAGTCTTACAGTAAGACATCTCTGGGGAAAATGCTTTGGGCTGTCATCTTCCTGGCTCACTGGATGTCTATGTCCAGTCTTCTCCTGGTGCTGATGGAGGGGCCTCAGCTGGACCTTGTCTGGGAGGGTCTCAGAGTCCCTGCTGGCTTGTGTCAATGACGGGGGTGGTCTTCAGCGGCACTCTGACCTGTGCTCTTATGGGTTGCAGGGCCTGAAAACCAGAGTCAGCAATCTCCCGGCCGTGAAGAAGTTTCTGCAGCCTGGCAGCCAGAGGAAGCCTCCAGGGAGGTGGGGAAATAATGAGAACCCAGTGGACCCAAACTCTGCTCAGGGGACCCTACTGTGGCCGCCTGTTCATCACAGCTCTGCTGCAGGAAGTTCTGTGGGGCCCTGCACAGGGGCCTCACCCCCATTTGACGGGGTCCCCCAGATCTGATCTCTATGACACAGGTGACATGTGTGAATTTGATATGAATGAATATATATGATGTCACTGCCCCGGCCTCTCACGGAGCCAGGGAGCCTGGATTGGGAGTGATTCTGGCTCTGGTCACATGTGGGGCCTGCGGTGAACACTCCCCAGGAAACCCAGCCTTCGGGGTATCCGATTCTCTTCTTCCTGGAGTGAGCTCCCCGCCTGCCTCACCCTCACCCCTGACCCCCCAACGGGGAAGGGGCGGGGCCAGAGCTGACAGACACATGGGGTCCCTGACTGTCCTTCCCCCCACTCTGGTCTGTTCTCCACTGACATCAAAATATTTTTCTAAAATGCAAACCTGAGAATCACCACGCTGTTTTGCCTCCCTCAGAGACTCCCGCTGCCTGCGGGGTGCCCTCCTTCCTTCCCTCCTCACCCCGAGTGCCAGTCCCACCACACAAGACGTGGGGGGGTGGCCTCCTTCCTGCCTGGGCACCTGTGCGCCCTCCCAGGCCAGCTCCACCCCGGTGGCCACAGTGAGCTATGTGCTCCCTGGGGAGAGCTGGACGCACCTCTTTGCTTCCCTCAGAGCCCCACAAACCTCCAGTAACCCTGAAGGCCACTGGCCTCCCTCAGCATCTGTGAGTTCCTGATGGGGGCCCGGCCCTGTGTATCCCCAGCGCTCCACCATGAATGGTTGTACCTCCACACACATCTCCATGGCCCAGGGGTCAGGGCTGTGGGAATTCCTCACAGTCCGCACCCACTCTCATCTGCCTGACAGCTCTATTCATTCATCCAAGTCTTCAAGACCAAGATGTTCATGTCACTCCAGTGCTATGGACAGACCTTGCTTTGATCCAAATGCAAATAAACCAACTGCACATAAGTCTTTATGAGACATTGGGAAAATTAGAATGCTGAATATTTAATCAAATGAATGAAATTGAATTATAAAAGATATAAATTATCAAATTTTAGTGTGATAGAATAGTGTGATTTTCTTTAGAAAAAGAGTACTTACCGCTTAGAGATAAATTTAATAATCGTGGGATGGATGCAGTCATGAGCCGTGTAGGATTTGCTGCACAGTAATCCTGTGCTGTGGGGAAGTAAGCAGGTCTGTGTGTTGGTTTTCTACGGTTGCTCTGTCAACTGACTACAATTAGGGGGGCTTAAAACAACATGATGAATTCTCTCACACTTTTGGAGGCCTAAAGTCTTAGTTAAGGTACTGCATTGACTCTGGACACTCTTGGGAGAAGTCGTCCCTGCCTCTTCTGGCTTCTGGTGATTTTTGCATCCTTCCTTTCCATGACTCATGGCCACATCACTTCAATCTCTGCCTCCATCTTCACATCACCCATATGGGTGATGACATATGGGTATGTCTGTGTATTTTCTCTTCTGCTATAAGCACACTTGCTGTTGGGTTTGGGCCTATCCATATAATCCAGGATAGTCTCATCTCTTAATTACATCTGCAAAGACTCTTTCTCCAAATTTTGTCCCATCCAGAGGTTCCAGGTATTTAGATGTGGACTTTTCTTTTCTTTTGGAGAACACCATTGTGGCTCAGATTGTAGAGAATTTGCCTGTAATTTTCTACAGGAGATCCAGTTTCAATCCCTGGGTCAGGAAGATCCCCTGGAAGATGGAATGGCAACCCACTCCAGTATTTTTGCCTTGAAAACCCCATGGACAGAGGAGCCTGGCAGGTACAGTCCATAGGGTAGCAAAGAATCGGACACAACTAAACATGAACCCATGTCATACAATGCTTAGGACATACTTCTATGAAAAAATTATTTTTTATGTGTCTGAAGTTCATATCTAATTGGGTGTCCTATATTTTATCTGCAACTCAGTGTAAAAGTATTGCAGAGGTTCATGTGAGCTTTCGTGACCGCAGGTCCCTGGTGTCCCCACAGTAGACATTTATCATCTGCTTTAGTCCCCATCTCCAATTCGTGAAAGTCAATTCGGGAGAAGTAAGTTTTCTCCAAAGGCCATCCTTCATTGACTGGCAAGAGGATACAATCAACTTGAAATATTGTGTTTAATCTTTAATTGCTGATTTTGAAAAGAAGTTATTAACAAGTTATACCCTGATAAGAGGACAATTTGCCTTTTTCTTTTTTAACCTAGCATAGAACCAGTGGCCCTGAATACCATGGGATTGGCTTTTCCTTAACTGGACTCTGCCCTTTCAGAGAGGAGGAGTCAGTCAGTCCACCGTAACAAGAGCTTATAAGCACATGTGAACTTGGCACTGAGGTGCTGAGCCAAGTGGGGACAGACTTTTGTAAGGTAAGCACTGATTTTGCATATCTGTATGATGTTTCTTTAGCACAAGAAAAACTGCTTCAGACTCACATGTGCCTTCTTGCTGTGCTTAGGGGACATTTAAGTTGTTTAGTCAATTGCTGTTGGATACAGAAATGTAAAAATGAATGTATAAAACTAAGCCTGAGAATTTAGATCTGAGAAAAATTAATGATATGAAGAGAAAAAAGAATGGCAGCATTTTAGATAATCAGAGTGTGACCAGTACAAGAAAGGCGTGTAGGTGTTTATGCTAAAGTTGCCTGCTCCATAGACACAGTCAACAAACAGCAGGTGTGAATTGCAATGTGCTAATACTATGTGGACTTTGGAAACACAAAATTAAGATTTAATTATAAGAGGAATAACTAAGTCACTGCCAGCAAAACTGGATTTTAACTCAGTCTTTGCTGTAATTAGTCAACTGGCAAGTCCCCCTCTATCTCTCCTGGAGCTCAAGCAACTCATGGGAAACCTAGAAATTGGCTGGAGCAGGGTTTAACCTTGGCCCTATTGATATTTCAAGCTGAGTAATTCTTTGTTGCGGGGACTTGTCCTATATATTGTCTGTTTTTTTAGTTAAAAATATTTGCCATAGAAATGCATATTGAATTAGGCTTAAGGAATGTACTTGACAACAGTGTTAACATATAGATTGATATTTTTCAAATTTGCAAACTTGACACTTCTCAGATACTTGCATTTTAAAGTTTTAAAAGAAACTGTCACTTCATCAATATGGTTGACACAATGAAGATTAATAATCTCACTTTCCATTTCACTCTGTACTTGTAGAAAGAACAGAGGGTGTGGGAGAGGTTCCTTCCTCATCTAGTGACAGTCCAGAAAGTAGAATAGAAGATATACGTGGCTACAGGAGAATTAGTATATTTTACAAAATACCTTATCCTGGAAGACTACATAGTTTAGTAGCCAGCTGCATCAATCATAGATGTTTCCAACTAAATATCCAATAAACGTGTCTGTTAAGATAACAGGGTCGTAGGATAAATTGAGAAAGTAGCAATGACATATATACACTACCATGTGTAAAATAGGAAACAGTGGGAAGCTGCTATATAACACAGGGAGTCCAGCCTGTCACTCTGCGATGAGCTAAGGGTGGTGGGATAGGAGTGGGGAGGGAGGCTCGAGAGGCAGGGGATATATATATTTATATATAAAATTGTGACTGATTCCAGTTATTGTACAGCAGAAATCAACACAACATTATGAAGCAATTATCTTCCAATTAAAAATTTTTTTTAATTAAATTTAAAAAGACAACAGTGTTGATGGAAAAAGCTGGATACAGTGCAGACTGAGGAGTAACGAGCAATCAGACGCACATGGGAGGCAGCCCCACCACCCCCAACATCAGAGGCACCTCTGGTCTCTTGCCAATGATGTGGCACCCTCCCATCTAGTTTTCACAACGAACCATGTCCTCAGGCATTGCCAAATGTCCTCTGGGCTGGGGGAGCAAAATCAGCTCCAGTTAAGAATCACTGGTTCATGTGACTTTTCAGACTCTTAAATACAGGAAGTCTGGATGTGAAAACTAGGTAATACAGGAGCAGAGAGTTAACTTCCAAAAGTAAAGAAATTCGCCTGACTGGAGGGTAAAGGTCATTCGAATTAGAATGCAGGAGTGAACACTGCACTGTTACAAGTATTACTATTGGGGGTAAATCAAAAGCCTGAAGTAAGAGAGTTTCAATGAGATCCTGTGAAAGTCTTAGAGTTGTCCAGGGTATGGCAATTCACAGGGGAAATATGGTACCTAAGCCTGAAAAGAGAAGATACGGAGAGTGGGATGAGAAGTACTGTGCAAGATGCTACAGAGAGCAACGTTTGGATGGGGATGAGGTTTGACCCCGTGAGAGTCACTGACTTGGACGCTGAGATACTGTGGAGCCTGGGCCAACCAGGGCAAGCGGGCAGCATCCTCTGCTTTCTCAGCCTGCGGCCTCTCTCCTTGTTCTGACTTGCTTGGCTGAGAGAATCACGGTCCTTGGGGTGGAACCAATTCAAGTGAAGGCATTGCAGGGCTCTTTGTATGCTGTCAGTCGTCTACAAACCCATTTTTCTAACTAGATTTCAGCCCCTCCAGGGCAGGGACCACATCAGATTCCTCTTGTGTTCCCCACCAGCCATCATTTCTTAGTGCCCGCAACTGCTCAATGAGTGTTAGTTGAGGAGGTTTCAAGGAAACTTGATGAGAAGGAAATCCGTGGGCAGGTCAACCAGAAAGAAGATGCTGAAGAAAGATCAATGAAGGAACAGGAAGGTGGAGAGAAGGGTATTGAGAGTGAGACCCTGAACTCCTGCTATAAAAAGGGGTGGGTTTCCCATTGCCGTGGCTGGAACCCATTCCAAGGGGCTGGGTGGTGGGGGGGAGCAGAAGATTCCAGAGAGTCCAGATCAGGGAGTGAGTGAGAGGGGAAAGGCCTGGGGGATAGGCAGGCAGGGTGCATGGTTCAGGGGCAGAAGTCTTGAGGTTTCAAAAGTCTGTGCCAGACCTCGCTGAACCTTTGCCAAAAGCTTCCTCCAATCCAGGTTAACTAATCCGTGAGCATCACTGATCTTTCACACAAGACAAATAAGAAGAGAACCAGTATATAAAGTAGCTGACAAAATCTGGATATATATAAAATCCTGTTCCTACTAGAGCTATAGGGGCTGAAGCGACTTAGCACAGCAGAGCATAGAGCGAGATCTGGAAGTCAAGAGGGAGACAGACAGACAGACAGACAGAAGACTCAATTGCTGCCCAGCGGGCTCACTCACCCATCTCCCAGGAACTGGGAGCAGAACGGAAGCTGGATTTGCTGCTCCCTGTTATGAATTTTGTATGCCTTATCTAGTTTAATTTTCTCAACAGCCCTCACTAGTAGACATAGCTGTATTTCGAAAGAGAACACTGAGGTACAGAGATTAAATAACTCCCCTGGGTTTATTTACCTTATAAGAAAAGGAGTTGGACTTTGTCTCTAAGCCTTTCTCTCTGCTGAGAAATGCTGTCATTAGGAGTCCCCCTCCCACCTACTCCGTGACTCCTTTAGTTCACACTGGAATTATCCCAAGACACATTTCTTTTCAGAGAATATAACCCTATCTCCTTATGAAGGTCAAATATAGTTATACTAGTGCTCAGGATACTCACAGTAAGTTTTTAAGGTCTGGGGTAAAGGAAGGTACGTTTTTATCCATTTTCCTCATATCAAGCCCCTAAGAATCAGCTAACAGAATTAACATTTCCTTCTCTCCTAATTTAACTGTTAATTGACTAACGGATTCTGAATGGGGAACAAGCTAATATTGAGGG